ACGAGGTGTTTCTCCTCACAAGTCTGTAGAGATGCTCTGCTACTTCAACAGACTTCTGAGGATCATCTTCTACACGCTCGATGTACTGCTGTGGACGTATTTTACAACTTAAAAGGATCAATATCAGTCTAACGCTGTATTTAGAACCTCTTTATCTTGATGTCAGACAGTCATTGTACCTCACAGAATGTTTACTGTGTTGTATTAATACTTTTCCTGAAGTAAAGGATCTGAATACTTCTTTGTTGTTTAATAATACTACTAATAATCCTCTCCTCTGTCTCCTGCTCAGGCACAGTCCCTTCAGGCAGCACAAGACCAAAGACAAACATGAGATTGACCGCATGACGCTCACCATGGTAAGACACATCCACACGTTACCCACAAGTCATTGCTGCAGCAACATATTACAGGAGTCTTTATGTAAACACGGAGTGGGTTTGGCCTGTTCACCGTTCAGTGTGAACAGAGACCTGATGAGGATCCTCTGAGCCTGTGAGAGGGTCTCTGAGGGTCCTCAGGTCTTTGTTTATTCGGGTGGTCTTTTTAGTGTCGGAGTGTTTTCTTTGCTGTGTCATGTGAAGACAAACGAGACGAGGCGTTTAACAGAAACAAGCTGAGCCGAGCTGGAGGGGTCAGATGGATGTAAAGACACATCCAGAACAGGTTTACTCAGAGAACCTAAATTAAATGAATGCACAAGGAATTACAGTTTCATCTGTTTTGAATTTTCTGTGTATTTTTTAATTCAATTTAAAGTTGGCAGTGCAGAAAGAGGAGGTGCAGTTCCTCTGAGCTCACTTTAACCCTCTGAACTCTAAAGGTTTCGGGGTGTTTTTCTCTCTGTGGTCTTGATTTTTACTTCAAAATAAAAGTCCTGCTCCTCTCTGGAAACAGAACCATCATGACTAGAAGTAGAGAGAACTAGAGGGAGCAACATCTTCTTCTTCTTCTTCTCTTCACATCACAGTCCTGCAGAAAGACGACATGTTGTGTTTTTTCATCAGGACAGATTTGCTGCTCGTCAGTGAAACGCGTCACACACACTAACACACACATGTATACACACACACTAACACACACACACACACTATTTGGCCGAGCAGGACCTTTAGACAGAGAGAGTCTGATCTTTCATATCACAATAAATCCAGATTAGAATTTTAATCCAGCCACTTAATCTGGTTTATCCCTTTAATCCGTGTGTGTGTGTGAGAGAGAGTGAGAGTGAGAGCTAGAGAGACTAAAAATACCTCTCTATATGTCTTATTGTGTATTGAACGTGATGAATGGTCTCATTACATAAACATGACAGAACAGGAAGAGACGGATGGAACACATTCAGACAGACAGCACTTCTAGATGAAGAACCTCGTCCGGTAAAGCAGAGCGAGAGACAGACAGGTGCAGGCCTAAAAAACTACAGGAAGTTAGTTATTGTAATCCAACAAGATCAATAGCAGCAGCTTTGCCCCCCCCCCC